TATTTAGATATTTTAATCTTGAGCTGTATCTTTCAAAATAATTCTCAGGCAATTATCCATATTGCTTCATTATTTCCAACAATATCTAAAAAGAAATCTTCTGATGCCCTTACACTGATTTCATGTCATGACAGATTCTCTTTTGCTTTTAAGAGAACATCAGAATTGTTCCACCCATCTCACTGAAAATGGAAATTTTCCCATAGCAGAGCTAAGAGAAAGAGAAATAATGTTCCTACTTCCATCTGTTTGAAAAGTATCCTTGAAGGAGAGTCTTTCTCAGACATATAATCCTAGCTAAAATTTATTAAATTCTCATTCTGACAGTCATCGTGGTCAGAATTGCTTCTAAAGTCCATAATCCTAGCTATAATAAATTATATATTGGAGCTGAAGGAATCAAAATCACACATTTGGCAGCAACTGCCACCTGTCATCTCCTTTAGCAAAGCATTTGCTTCTTGTAGTGTGATTAATGTTTCCCCTGCTGTCTTAAGAATATAATTCAATTTTGTGACCTAGTTTGGTTTTGCTGCACTTAAAGGAAGTGCTGTGTCACAGCCCATGGTAGTGTTTTATTGTACCTATTCAGAAAAAAAAGTCTTTTCATAATAGGTGTCTTATCTTCTGTAAGTATAAAAATCTTTTTTTATGGCTGACTATTCCTATTTAACTTTTTTCTTCTAAGATGGTGATTATGTCGCAGGAGATGTATGAGACAGGAGATAAATTTGGATTATTTTCTAGACCTTACTTCTGCAAGGCTACAAAGTCTCACAGATGGATGCCAGATGTAATCTGGATTTTTATATCTCAGAAATAACATCCTCAGACCTTTCCAAGGTCCCTTCCCCTCTCTGTGTCCAGGGAATGACAAAGTTCTGGATATCTCTAGGAAAACCTAAATCATGACCTAAGCACTGTGAGCTGCACCAATGTAGATTTTTACCTTTAGTCAAAGAAATATAATCTGCAATAAACATGGCAGTATATTCCATGTTCTGACAACTGCTGGTAGTATAAGTTCTGCTGCAGCTGAGGACTCCTCAAACAATGTCCTCTCTTCTTTCATCATAAGAAGAGGCTAAAGGTGCTAAGTCAAAGAAAAAACCATATTGGATAGAAGCTTTTTGGTAGGACAGAATGAGTTTATGACCATTATTTCTGCAGTGCACATCCCTATTTTAAATTCCACTTTGTCAGAGGACTTCTCACCCCCAGTTATTTCCTTCAGCTGAAGATCAATGAGAGCAGTAACGAGTTCAGGGCAGGTGAATGTCCCTGTCCTTTCCAAAAACACAACTCTGAGGGTTCCTTGACAGCTGTGAATTTCAACAAGAAGACTGAGAACTTTAGTCAGGCTGCCACACAAACTATTCTGGGTTTCTGTTTTCTGAGAAACCAAATCTTAGAGAAAAGAATGAAAGGATGACTTGCACTGGCCATGATTAGAATAGTCTAGTTGATCCTTTTGGATTCAGAAAAAAAAAAAAAAAAAGGAGAGGAGGAGAAAATGAGGAGAAAATGAGAAAATGAGCATTTTAGCATTTTATTATAAATTCATTTTATAAGTCTGTTCTCTGATAGTTCTATCGCTAGGTTTTGTTTAGATTTTCGTTAAAATATCTGATATTAAAATATCAGGGTGACAAAGAGAAATAATTATTATTAAGCCTTTAAGGCCAAGTATATCAGTTTCATTCCCTGTATAACAGCTTTACAGAGTATATTAATAACATAAGAGTTTGAGGTAACATTATGATATATTTTTATTCATTTATCCTTCCCAAAAAAGAAAATTATGCAAATCCAGTTGTGCTGAGAGGGAATATTAAGGTACAGTGCACTGTGATGTGGTCAATTTATCCACTCCCAGTCTGTCAGGTTCCTTGTCACCTGGTAGCTCTAATGAAAACAAAATTACTCCCATTCCAGGTTTTAGGCAGTTCAATATTACTTAGATCTTGATAGGCTTAATAGGGCTAAAACACCAATAATTTATATTAACTATGTGACTATTTTTCACATTAATACATGATTATTTATTAATAATCAGTAATTCATAGTTAAATAGCCAGTAGTTTATTCAAGCTGATGGTCAGTGTTCTTTTTGTCTGTTGTTTTTATCATTCACTGGAAATATAGATTGATTCTTTTCCCATGCCCCCTGTTAATGTTTCTGTACTTCTTTATAATGGCATTTAATTGCAATTTAAATACTTTCAGAAAAAAGTATTCTTGAAAAATTGTACTGGTTTTGATGAAATGTCCTTTGTCTTCAAAGATCTGATATTGTTTTTTGGGGTTTTTTTTTTTGTTTTGTTTCGTTTTGTTTTGTTCTAAGTTCTTTCAGCAAGTTAAAGCTCCACTATAACGTGCATTTAAAAAGGCATATTTATCTCATGCTGGCTAGAATTTTCGTATTGCAATTTGTATTGCAATTATTCTATCTTCATGTTCCCTTGTTATTTTATCTTCTGCTGTGTTTCTAACCCCAGAGGCAGATCCTGCTGTCCTATGAGGTGTCCATGGATGCTATCAATGATCCTGTCCGAAGACAGAGGTTAATGAGTGCAGCCACAATTCTTACAGATAATTCAAGTAAGTCATTCTTTCCTTTTTCCTGTGGTGATTGTGTAACTCGACCTGAGAGATCAAACTGTCAAAAACAGAATTATTTTAAAAGCCTCTAGGGGAAATTATGCTGCGAAATGTAAATTTCAGTAAAACAAATATTCTCATATCTCATGTAACTCACAATTACCAAAGGTAAATTTTGCCTGACCTTTATTAGTCTGTGATTAGTTTGTGCAGAACTAGCTAAACAATTTTTTTCAATGCTGCTATTCTGCTCATGTGAGATTGACTTTTCAATCTTGTCAATGAATGTCTTTTTCTTCATTCTGTGATATTCTACAAAGGATTATTCATATATCACTTTCCCTCTTTGTCTGCCACCAGACAAAAAACTGAACTGTCCTACATTTTGGAAAAATTTCCCTCAAAAGTATCTCATTTGGAATTGTTGTCCATTCTGGAGAGCAGTCAAAAAGAAGATGAAATTGGTAATTTTGAATCCATTTGTTGATCTCTTAATCATGGTTTGCATTATCTTGAACACCTTATTCCTGGCTATGGAGTACCCTGGCATGGACCCAGATTACCAAAAACTGATTTCTCTAAGTGACCAGGTAAGTTAGATTTATGTAGGGTGAAAATGGAGTTATAACCCTGTATTTGTACTGGGACACTCCCTTAAGGAGACAGACTTTTTCAGTGACTTTTTTTCTGGATTTCATTTTTGTCTTTCCAGGTTTTCACCCTGATTTTTACTGTAGAAATGATCTTGAAAATCATTGCTCTAGATCCTTACTACTATTTCCAGCGAAAGTGGAATGTTTTTGATAGCGTGGTTGTTTTAATTGGCCTAGCGAGCTTTGGAACAAATCTGTCACCTTTCAGGCTGGTAATTATTTATAAAAAAAAAAAATTAAAAGTACTTGTGTTGTATAGTGAAATACCCTCATGTTGTTTTACTGATGAGTATGTTAAATCTATTTTCTTTATTGTTAAGTAGTAAGATAGCATGAGGTTTTAACTGAGCATGAGGTTTTAACTGGAGTGACTTTAATGACATCAAAATAATTAAAGTGCTCTCTTTGGGGAAAAAACAGTGATATTACTGCAGTAAAGACATGGTAAATGCAGGGTCTGGCTTTCATGTGTGCTGTGCTGTCTAGGCTGTTTTTAATTGTTTTATTTCCTTGTGTTTTATTTACAGCTCAGGATCTTCAAATTGGCAAAGTCCTGGCCAGCCTTAAATACTCTTATGAAAATAATTCTACACTCATTTGGTGCACTGAGTAACCTCACTCTGGTTTTGGCAATCACAGTATTTATTTTTGCTGTAGTAGGAATGCAGATTTTGGGCAGTGATTATGCTGCAGAATCCTGTAAAATAAGCTCCAGTGGCAAATTACGCTGGCATATGATAGATTTTAGTCATTCAGTCCTGATTATATTCCGAATATTATGTGGAGAATGGATTGAAACTATGTGGGAATGCATGGAAGTGGCTGGAAAAAAGAAATGTCTCATCATTTTCTTGCTCGTCCTGGTTTTAGGAAACCTGGTGGTGAGTTTCAAGTCAATTTTCAATCCCTACTGAATGCATTCAGTTACTTTTTGCTTTGGAGGCAAACTTTACTGTTTGAAAAGTATTCACTTTATTCTCTTTCTGGGTGTCACTTGACATATGGTTTTGTTCTGTCTCCCTTTTCCTCTTTCTTTCTTTTTCTCTTGCAAGACACAGAAGCAAAATAAAATTATTCCTTCTAGCCAGAGTATAGAAGTGCAGAGCTTATCATAATTTGGTGTCAGATGTCTTCATCTTTTGTTTTGATGGGACCAAATAACCAAACAGCTGAGTGCTTTAAATGCTTAACACATTGCCCTTATGTTATCAAAAGTTTACAGAACCCAGATTTTTGGGTTAATACTAGATCTAATGTAAATTTAGTGGAAGACAAAATCTTTTTCATCTGCTTGGTTTGTTGGTCTATACCAGATCCTTTTTGATGGTGATGTAATTAAAATTCATCTTTGCCTGCTGTTTTTCTCCATGTCTGCCTCCTCATACACTATGGATATCAAAGCATGTTAAAATGTATTTGATATACCCAAACTCTCACTTCTCTCCTTTTTTTCTGCTGCTATTCCTTCCAGAAGGAGCAATATCATGCTATAACAGTATTCCAGCATTATAGCAAATAATTTCATTGCAGTGGTTAATGAAATCAAGTTTGAGGGTCTCTGTTAGCAATAGTGTCTCCAACTTACTTTATTTTAAGGTGCTCAACCTGTTCATTGCTTTGCTGCTGAGTTCATTCAACAATGGCAGCCCAAAGGGAGAAGAGGAGCCCGGAGAAGGCACGAAATACCAGGTTGCCATTGCACAGATTCACAAGGGCCTGAAGGCTGTGAAAGACAGAATTTGGGATCACTGCTGCAAAAGAATGAGAGGAAGCCTCAGAAGAAGAGACAAAAAGAAGACTGTGGCAGAAGTTTCTGGAAAAGGCATAGAGATTACTAATTATGCCATGACAGATGTCAGAAAGCAGATAGACAACAGCTGCTTTGACATAGAGCGTTGCCACATGGAAGAGAGCTCCTCACTTGCAAGGAAATATGAAGGAATTTTGACCAGCCACAGTACCTGTGTTCCCATTACAGCAGCAGAGGCTTACACCAACAAAGGTGATGATGGGCACGTTTTGCACACAGCTGTAGAATACAGAAAACAGGTAAGGAATATTGAGATTTGAAAAATTATTGTGACTTGCATCTTTAAATTCAATCTCAAAGACTCAACAGTAAACATTTTCCTTCCTGTCATTTCTGCAATTTTACTTTCTTTGTTCTTCTAGTACAAGGGTAAAACAATAGTCTTGGTTATTCAATGATATGTTGAATATTCACTTTTTCATCATTCTCCTCCAAAATTCTGCTTTTGACTGTTTTGCTTCCATTTATTCCTGTCAATGGATAAACAAATTTCAATCAAGACAGACTTTTTTTCTTTTTGTATCCTTTGCCTTTCACCTGGGTTTTTTGGAAGGCAGGCCTCATGTGTTCCTTCTCAGTTGCATTCCAAAGGGAATGTAAACAAAAGCTACACCATAAAAAATAAATTCTTAGTATTTTTTGTTTTATTTTTTTAATCAGCTGTTCACTCCCCTTTATATCTCTTGATTTTGTTGTGTTGGGCAGGATAAAGCTCAAGTCTTTCTGCATGTGAGTGAGACATTTTTACTGCCATGACAGCTGTACAGAGGCATTTAGGGATATTGGAGATTTTTCAGGTGTCTGTCACATCCACATGGGATTGTCAAATATGGCACAGGAACTGTAGGAACTCTTTTCATGGAATCACAGAATTGTTAGGGTTGGAGGGATCTCTTTTTGGATGGATTAGCACACAGTTAGTATCTAGGTGGACTGCTAGGATCCATTTTGTATGGTTTTGGTCATATTAGGAGATATTATCAGTGCAATATCTTTGGACAAATTCTCAAAGAAGCAAAAATTGCTGATCACCTTGGAATCATCTATGGCTATTTCAGATATCTTGTCCATAAACATTTCATATCAGAAATTCATTCCCTGCTGCAGTGGAACCTGGTATTTCTTGGAATTTGAAATATCAAGAGGACTGAGGACTGATTCTGATCACATAGATCTTCTGCCTATAACTGGAAGCATCATTCTTTAGGAAAATCATTTAATGATCTATAAAAAGAAAAACTTGCTAGTGAAAGATTCTCTGCTCGTGGCAATAGGTTTGAAACTATATGATCTTTAAGGCCCCTTCCAAACCAAACACACAAATCATTCTGTGATTATATGAGTCTAAACTTTGTGGATGTTTTTGCATTCTGTTAAATAACTTTACTTTTCAAGAATGACTGTCAGGAAAAAAAATAAGTGGAAAATCAACTGTTTTGCATAATTTCATGCAGGAAGACGAATTAGGACGCAGAGAACAGTGGCAGAATTCAAGGAGTTTCAATCAGAGTTCTGGGACTTCTGAAACTCTAAATATTTTCACAGTAACACACCCAAAGAATGAGCAAAAAGAGGTAATTATAAGCTTTATCATTTTGTAGAATATGCTGGGCTTTTCCCTCTTCAAGCCTTTTGAGACATGATTTGTATCTCTAAAAATGGATTGGCCTGAAGAAATCAGAAATTCTCTAAAACTGTAGCATAATATAATCTTTTCTAAACATTTCCCTTCCTGCAAGTCAACGGTAGATGACTAAAAGAAACCAAGAAACTTCTTAAAATAACGTGATGAAAACAAAAAGGTAGGGATTGGCTTTTCCTGTCCTATTATTTACAACTTATTTTGGTAGTTCAGCAACATTAAGATAATTTATACACTGCATATTTCTTTTGGGGAGGGAGAGGAGATGATCATTCTCATTTATTTTAGGTTTGTTAACCATATTAATGAAAAGCAAACAAATTCTTTTCTTGCTCCTTCTCCTCTGCAGAAATACCATGCTGTTCGTAGCTTTTCTGAAACCAGCACTGTGGATCCAGTTGCTCTTCTAGAGATCCTTTCCCAGACTAAAAACTCAAAGCTGCCTAAGGACTGCTTTGTAGAATGTAGGAATCTTTATTTTATTTTATTTTTTTTTTTTTGTGTATTGCACTAATGCCAAATGAACCAGTGTTCAAAAATATCCATTTGGAGCATGTCCAAATTATCAGGAATTGTTTGCCTGCTCAGCCCAGTGTGGATGTCTGCCTCTGATCACCTGAACTTCTCCTTAGACTCTATTGACTCTCATGGTTCAATCCTGCTGCCTTTAAAGATTACTGAAGAGTGTTTCTGGCACAGGGCAGTGAAAAAGTGTCCAGATGTAAAGTCTCTGCAGTGCAATAAAGTGAAATAATCAGTAAATATAATAGTTTAATGACCTGCTAGTAAGGTAATGTCTCTTTTTAAAATAAAAAAGAGAAAAAAATGCAGAAAATAAATACATTTTTAGATAGAAGTAAAAGCTTTTGTGCCCACAGGCCTTTCTGCAGAAGGACACAAAAAGATGTCTGTTATTCCATGTATGTGTTGCTTTATTAACATAAAAATTCTGTCTTTTCTTTAGCTTCAGATCATTTCAACAATAGCATCACCTCATAGATAAAAAAATCACATTCTTCCTGTAATATGTAAAAACCTTCTTTAGATGTTTTATACCTTTTAAATCTGTATCTCAACATTTTCCATTGAAGCAATATGCTGTTCTCTCTCTTTTCAGGTTGTGTTGAGTGTTTCCCATGTTGTGTAGTGGATATCACAAAGTTTTCAGGCAGAACTTGGTGGAACTTTAGAAAAACCTGCTACAGAATCGTTAACCACAGTGGCTTTGAATATTTTATGGTTTTTATGATTGTATTGAGCAGCGCAGCACTGGTAAATTTCATTTCATTTCTCCACTTTTGAATTAATTGTTGTCAGTAAAGAAATAGTGTTGAATTGATTTCTTCTACTATGACATTCCCTTACCCAGGGAGAGAGAAGAGTGCAATAAATGTAACCCTTAGAAGTTATAATGCTTTCCTCCACTTGGATAAGATATTTAAATAGATGTATTTAAATACATGGAGTCATAGTTCTTCATTGAACATAGTCCCTTACACTTTTGTGTTAATTACAAGGCTAAACCAGTCTGAAATTACTTAGGAAAACTAGAAAAAAATAATAGCCCTTCTAAATTTGTAAAGCAAACTAACTACTCTGTAAAAATGTGGATTGAAAATCATCCAAACATGATCAGAAGCTAAAAGTGAAGGTGGCTGTAAATTGGTAGGTGAGGTAATCTTTCATTGCTACTCTGTTTATACCCATTTCTACTGAAGAATAAGGGAAGAATTAATTTATTTGAAAGTATATTCACTGTCTACTGAAAGTAACATGTTAAGTAAAATGCTGTGTAATGCACAAGGAACATAACAAAATAGTCTGAAGGTGATCTATGTGGTAGATGTCAGAATTTCCAACTAAAGTCAGTTCTGTGTGCATTACATTCAGCTTGTTCCCTGAACTGTAGATTTGAGCTGTCTGCTTTAAAATTCTCCTGACAAAACCTCCAGGGGAGCTCCCTGGGATTCCACTGAGGACTCCTCTGAGTTCATGGGGAACCAAACTGAAGTAAAGAAGGAAACTGAGTTATTTTTAATGTCCTGTTGAACAAAAAGTTAGTTGGTACACAGGTGCAAAATGACAAAACAATAATGACTTCTGGTCATCAGAGATGTTTTACAGTGTTGAGAACTTTCCCACTTCTAAGATACACTTGTCCTCTTGCAAAAATGGACTTGCTCATTTTTTTACTTGTTTATAAAGTTTACTGATATGACATTTTCTGACTGAGTATGAATGAGCACCAGACCATGACATATGTCTGTGGCTTGAAGTGAAATTAAATGAGATGATGACCAGGGAAAGAATGCTCAGAAAAGCAGGGGAGAATTGGATGAAGGGAAAATTACAGACATTGCCAAAGGCTCAGTGAGGAAATAATGCAAGCTGTTAAAAGGAATTTGGAATAGATTGGAAATATAAAAAACATTAAAGTAAACGAGCAAGGCAGCAAATAGTTTAAACATGAGCAAACACTGATGTGAATGACAATTTTCCTAAAACCTCGAGGTTAAGGTTTAGGTGAAAACACATGCAACTTCAGGAATGAGCAGTTCCAGATGAGGTATTTGTCACATTTTTCCATGTCTGTATTACAACCCTGCAGGATGACTCAAGATGACTCATTTGGAAGGTCAGAGTCTGACAGACACTGGTTAATGTGTTCAATTCAGGCTTTTTTGTGAAGAATTTTAGACTGACGCCTTCAAAATTATCAACTACCTTGGGTAGCCAAAATTTTTTAGCCCCAACAGACCCTCATCACTTCATTTTGTGAAGTGTTGAACATAAAAACCTGAATGATGAGATTTTTCAATGTGAAAATGAGATTGTACCTATTTTAGAATTTAGTTTTTTACTTTTAAGTATGAAAATAAGTGATGGTTGCTGATAATTTAATATGAAATTATTATAATAAGCCAAACTGTGTATTCTTGTGCAATTCAAAAATAATCTTCCATAGAACTATTGACCTGTTTTAAAACTGAATCCTGAAATTCCAGGCATTTGAAGATATTCACCTGCAGAAGAGGCAAAAAGTGAAAATTATCCTAGATTATGCTGATAAGATATTTACCTACACCTTTTTAATGGAGATGCTTCTGAAATGGATGGCTTTTGGTTTGCACAGTTATTTCACAAATTCTTGGTGTTTGCTTGACTTCATCATTGTATGTGTAAGTATTATACTCAGCTTGTCATACATTTTAATTTTTGATATTTTCTATCTAGAGAACTATCTGTAAATTCTGATTATGAATTAATACAAATGTTAAAGACAGTTTCCAAAAGCTGAAAAACCTTCAATCCAAAAGAGGCTTTAGGACTTTAAATGGAAATTGTCAGCAATAATCAAGAAGTTACTGAAGAAAATTTTATTAGGTATCACCATCATTGAGGACCATGATGGCTCTAAAAATCTTTTCAATTGAAGAGAGAGAGTTCAATTAGTGATCAGAAATAAAATTAATATAAGTTAATAAAGATAGTAGAAAATGTGAAGCTACTGACAGTTCTGGACTAGATGATCTTAAAGGCTCCTTCCAACCCAAACCAAATCTGTGATTTTCACATTTAGAAACAGAAAAAAAGAAAGTAATTCCTTCCTTGAAGGAGAAGAAATTTAGATGGCAAAGACAGTCGAAAAACATGGTTGGAAAAATAATTTACCAGGGAATTAATCATAGGGAAGTATCTTTTGCTGTGCACAGCCCTAAAGAGAAATGCTGGGATCACCAAGAGTGAGATAAGTGCAGTGTTCAGTACGTATGTATTTGGTCTGAATGTAGAAAATGCTAAATGTTACCATCTTGGTGTAGAAAAATGAAATATTTTTCTTCTCAATATCACACTGGGACTGTTCTGAAGTTAAGAATTTTAAAATAAGGACATCTAAACTGCTGACTTGTAGCATCAATGTAGCTTTTGATAGACTCGAGACAGTCAGCATTGAAAGCTGTGAAGTATTAGGAAATTTCAACAGAAAGATTTAATATTATGACTATTTGTAAAGAACACTTGAGCAGTTACAGTTTTCTAATGTAAATAGCAGTCCAAAACAGAGGATAAGCATGGAAATATCCAATGGCTTAACAATGAGGCAACAAATTCAAATAGGAAAGAAGAGACAAATCATGAACAGAGAAAAATTCCTAATTATTGAAATTATTTTTAATGCATTCATTTCTCTCTTAGAAATATGTAAAATGAACCAGATATATTTTAAAAAAAAATTGTTTCCACATCCCCATCCTCAGTTATGATAACAAATTCCTGTATAAACTTATGAGAATAACTGTGTAGAAAATGGAAGTATTTTATTTGAATAATTTGAAACTTTATGGTCTGGTAGTGCATGGAAGTATCATAGTTACCAACTTGATTGTTATACTAGTATTAAACAGAATGATATTAACTCTTTAAAAATAAATGAAATTAGAATTTTTTTTTCATATGTTAGTAAAGAATGAAGTAAAATTACATTGTAATAACTTTGAATCTGTATTTTCTTAATTTGACTTAGTGGTGAAATATACTGTAACTTTCATCTTAGGATTGTCTACTAATGTAAATAAAATAAAATTTTGTATGCCATTTAATGATCCCAGTTCCAATTCAATGAACACAGCTGTCCTTTGTTTCCTGGAGAATAAATTCTGTTTCTGAAGATTCATCACCTTGTTCCTCTGGGACCAGCCTGAAATCTCTCAGGACTTTAAGAGCACTTAGGCCTCTACGAGCTTTGTCAAGATTTGAAGGGATAAAGGTAAAGATATTGGGGGTCTGGGTTTTTAAATGGATGAGAATTTTCAGTAGATACAGAAGATGAAAAAATCAGTGGATTTCTGGGAAAAGTGATCTATTGAATGCAAATAATTAATTCTTTTCATTCATTTCCTTCAGGTTGTTGTGAATGCACTCTTTGGAGCCATCCCCTCAATTTTCAACGTCCTGCTTGTCTGTGTGGTCTTTTGGCTCCTCTTTAATGTTCTAGGAGTAAAATGGCTTGGAAGCAGATTTTGGAAATGCACACTCAAAGAAGGAAATCTTGATCTCATTAATACCAAAAATGATTGTGATTCCCACAATGGCACATGGTCAAATAATGCTGTAAATTTTGACAATGTTGGTATGGGATACTTGGCTCTTCTCCAAGTGGTAAGTTCTATAGAAACTAATTGCTAATTTTTGTTTTCCTCAAGGACTGGATTGAGCAGCCCAACCAAGGCACACCACTATGGTTCTGTTTATCTCACTGAAACCAGGGATTTTTTAGCTTCCATGAATATTTTCCTTATCTTTGAGCTGCTCAGTTTCTCCTGAAAAACACTTGGGCATATGCAGCCTTTTGTTAAAATCAAGAACTCTGTTTCACAGCTTTTCCATTTTGTTTTAAATTTTATATATAAAAAAAAAATTGATTAACAAACTAAGCCTGAAATAGTCTGTCTGTTACTGTATTTAAAGTTATTCTTGTTTTCTCTGGTTCAGAGTGGATAAGAAAACTCATGGACCAATTTATTTAGAATTCTATGTCTTCTTTTGTTGTAAAAGTCCTGAAGTGTTGGGTTGCTAATTCACTGAGCTCCCTAATACCACAACAAAGGAGATAAAGTAATTTTTTAAAAGTCTTTGTTATCCCTGTATCTTTTCTAGATGAAGTTCTTTGCTCCAGATCCTCCAAAATGTTCTTGGATGGATAAAAATTACAGGATGGAACAGTCTGCTGTTTTGTTAAAAGTTGTTTTTATAATTTTAAGTTATATTTGCTAGTTAAGCTGTTCTTTCAATGTTCTTTTGTTTTTGCAAAAATTTCAATTTAACAAGAGTTAGCATTAAAGCACATTTGACATGAATTATGATTATTTTTTTTTGTTTTCTTTTCAGGATTTTTTTTTTCTTTGTAATAAGCTCCAGTAAATCATACTTGCAAGCCTATCTTAGAATTGATACACATTTTTTTATAGCACACTTCTCATTTTTTCCACAACTATTAACACATTTATATTAGCAATGGCTATTTTTTTCTTAGTTATAATAAACAATGCATTTTCTTTCAGGCAACTTTTAAAGGTTGGATGGATATTATGTATGCAGCAGTGGATTCACGTGAGGTATGTCACTGAAATGAAATTTTAGAGCAGGATTTGGCTTTATTTTTCATTATCTTTACAAACAGTAACAAGATAGAGAAAGACAATTGTTCTACATTTAGATAAAGGTTTAAATATATGGAAATAATTTATCCCTCATGACAATAAAAAGATCTGCTATAATAAATTGAAAATTATAAAGATGAGATTATCTGATTTTTACCAATATTATTTTTCTGGTTTGATTTTTTTTTTTAACAGATCAATCAACAGCCAATATTTGAAGCACGCTTACACATGTATGCGTTCTTTGTGGTTTTCATTATTTTTGGATCTTTCTTCATGCTGAACCTTTTCATTGGAGTGGTTATCAGCAATTTTAACCAGCAAAGGAAAAAGATAAGTACTACATGAGCTAACCTATGGTCTCCTGTAATCCCAATTTGATTAGGTGAATGCTGGTTTGACATCTAGAGGTCTAATATTTTGAAATAAGTATTTGACTAGATAAATAAAAAATAATAACATTTCAAACCAAGTTTTGAAAACAGGACTCTCCTCTTCCTCAAGAGTTTTTCCTGTGAATTCTATTTCCCTACTAAGTCCTGAATTTATTCTAAGTAGCGGACAAGGAGGAAGGAGTGAGTAGCTTTAGAAATGAGAAGTCAAAAAAGTTACCTAGACTTTCCTACAGGAGAGAGGAATTCTTTTCTTCTGCTTTGAAGGTTTGCTTTAGGGAACAGAACAACCCTTTTTGCTAAGGGTAAACACCTCACAAATATGACCAGGGTAATCAGTCATGGAAGAAATAATCGTGGAAGGAGTAACCTCTGCTTTCCTTGAAAAGGTCTTGTCAATTAGAACTTCTTCTAAAACTAGCTACAATTTAAATAGTCCTTCATCTACAAAATAAACTTGCAGATTAATTAAGGAGGTTTTAAAAAAATTCTGCATTGGGATTCAAGCCATGACCCCAGGAAGGGGCTATGTAGAAATTTAAAGATTGCTTAAAGCCCATGAAGCAATGACTGCTTCCACTTTTCTCCTCATAGTTGTTGTATTTCCTGTTCTTGTTATTGAGTAAGAAATGGGAAGCAAAATCTTAAAATGGAAAATGCAGCAAAGAAAAGCAACAGTCATCCCTCCCTGGAATACTTCACCTTCCTTATGCCAAGCTTATTTATCAATTGAGTTCTGTCCTGACTCATTTAAGGGCTTAAAGTATCCAGAATATCAAGGGAAATTGTGTCAATTAATCTACTTGAAAGTCTTAAAACAAATAAGCATCTTGCTCATTGAAAAAATGCCAGAAAAGCAGACCCCAACAGGAGGTTTACAATTTCAAGGTTCCATTTGGAAGACAGAATCTCTACTGGAATAATTTATTATTTCCATAGGCTAGCTTACACATCAAGCATCAAAGCATTGCTGCCTTTGGTAGAGAAAAATAGAAATAAAACCCACAAGAAATTCTCCTGTTCTCTGAATTTGGACAGAGAAGGGATATGTAGGGATTGAGCAACAGCAGTCCACTGTAAGAACTTCCTTTCATAACAAAGTCCCAGTTACAATAATCCCAATAGATATAAAGGTTAAGTAGTTTATAAGCTTGAACATTTGCTAGAAGTTTCTGTGGATGTAACACCTTTTCTTTTCTTAATGAATGCTGTAACTGACATTTGTTTATTTTTCATTTTTTTCTTTCATTTCTTTTCTGCTTCATTGGACCTTTCACTGATATTCCATGTAGTGAAGTTCAGCAGAATTTTCAGAGGTTTTTCTGGAGTAACTCCAATTGCAGATGCCCTGCTGAACATTGTGATGTGTTTGTTGTAAAAAATGCTGATCACTCAATGCTTTCATGATGAATGATTTCTGATGACTGGGTTCCAAGTGATTGCTCAGGAATACAGGTGGTGTGGATGGTAATAAGAAATTCATTGCCAGGAGCCCTAGAACTTGGTCTCAAAATGCTTGTTCATCATCCTCTATTTACTTGCTAGTCCAGTAATGTACTTCTTCTACCTTTCCCAAAAATATAAAATATTCTACTTCTTGATGCATCTTATGTAATTTTGAAAATAAGAAATAGATTCACAAAACTTTAGAAAGGCTCTCACACTTGAGGGAACTGACTTGGGATCACTGCCTGGACTTGACTTTCATGATCAACCCAGATCAGATCAAAGATCAAGGGGAAAAGGAGAAATGGTGAAGACACATTTGGTCTCTTTGTTCTTTTAGGTCCCACTCACGAGAACTGTAACTTACTATCTTTAACATAAACTTGCTGGTGTTTGGCTTCTTCTGAACAACAATATTCTTCCTCTTTACTTAGGTGGAAAAGATCTATTTTTGACTGAGGAACAGAAAAAGTACTATAATGCCCTAAAAAAACTTGGATCCAAGAAACCCCAAAAACCCATCCCAAGACCATCGGTGAGACCACCTTAAGAAGAGCATGACAGGGGATATAAAGATAATAATATTTAATGCCAGGCATTGAGAAATAAACTTTGCATTGCAGCCCCTCATCTTCCTCAGTCAATATAGAATTTAGATTTTACTCTCTTTTGTTTAAAAATTACATCCAACACAGTTGTCTTTGAGGGTATTAATTAAGGAAATTCACAACCTATTTATCACATACTCCAATGTACAAACTTTAAAAACCAGTTCATATTAAGCATTTGGTATTCATAACAGGATCTTGGTTGTTTAAGTTGCATGATGTTGCTTCTGCAACTAGATTGGATTATCACAGGTGAAAATGAATAGAGAGCAGTACATGCCCCGTGGCTGTTCTCTGCTTTTAAATAATCTTATGCTTTATTTCTTACATTTTCTTAAATTTAATTCCAGACCTGGTTTTGCACAGTAACTACTCAGAGTTTTTCCTGTTTATGATATTTTAATTAGAATTGCTTGTCCTAAAATACCTGCTTCAATAAGTATTTCTATTAAAAGAGCAATCACAATGTACTCTGAATGTTTTCCTGCTATAATTTTTTTTCCTAAGCCAATGTGCTTGCACGATGCCAGAAAATACTGAAAGGACGGTGATTTTTCTTTGAGGGTCTAAAGAAATCACCTGAAAGTGTTTCTAGTAGCTTGTTGTTAATTTATGTTATTTTAAATTCCTTTCCTAAGCACAGATTACTGATCAATGTTTGAATGCAGGCTGGGTCTCAGAAGTGGCATTAAGTAGTTCTCATTCTCTCCACAGAATGCATTTTTAGGATGGCTGTTTGACATCGTATCTCACAAAGCTTTTGAAATCACCATTGTGATTTTCATCTGTCTAAATATGATCGTTATGGTGGCAGAAGACAACCAGAAAGCCACCAAGGATGTTCTTAATAAAATCAACTATTTTTTTGTGGCTGTATTCACTGCAGAATGTGTCATGAAAATACTGGCCTTAAGGCACTACTACTTTGGAAGCTGCTGGAATATGTTTGATTTCAGTGTCGTGATCCTCTCAATAGTGAGTAAGTATCAATCATTAGGTCAGGTAATGTGTCTTACCAATATTAAGTCAAATTCCAATTTGAAGTAATCGCCTACATATGTCTGATAAATAAATTCCAGATCCATTGTACTTTTTTAAACCATCTGCTAAGTGATCCCTTCTAAAAGGATGCATTTTTATTTTCCCTTATATTTCTGCAGAGTACTAAAAGGTAAATGGAGTTTGCAAATTTTTTTAAGTATGATTTTTTTATTGAGAAATTAACAGAATATTAATTTAATTCAGTGAAATATTTTTAAAGTTATTTTATTTAAACTGTTGTCTAATGTTTTATGCTTTCAATTTACGTGTTGTCACGTTAACTGAAGAAAATTCAGGTTAAAAATACATTTGCATCAAAAATGGGCATTAATTTAATTTTCCAGGACTTCCTCTAAAGAAAGCAGAGCCCAATTGCAGATTTGGAAGGCTCAGGAAAATTTGGTTGCTCAACACCATTCTAAATCTGGACCACTATTTGTGACTGAAAAAATTATTAAAACTGGCTTGTATTTTTTTTTGCTCTTTAAATAAGACTAGATGCTGGTCTCCTGCTCTATAAAGGGTCATATACAGCTCTAGTTTCCTATAAAATTAATTTTGTCTGTTCTTCCTACTCAGGCTTAGGTCATGTCATATAGTAAAACATGGGAAAGAAAAACTGTTCTGACTTCTCTGCTTCTTGCCTAAGCATGGTAGCCTTTTACCATCCTGTGAAACCCAGAAAAAATAAGATTTCTTAACTCTTCTGCTTGTAAACATTTGCATTGCTGCTGTGTCATCACCCTCATAGTAAGGTCATAGAATGAGGAGACAAATTTCCTTTATTTTCTCCTTGCTCTTCTCTGATCTCATTTGAGTGCCAAGCATTAGTCAAAGTCTCACATTTAGGCTTAGGCAGAAGAAGCAGCACTCAGGCAGTGGCTCAGAGACAGTCCCAGAGCTTCCAGCACAGGACCTGAATGGATTTAAAAGGATTTTCAGCAATGAATGCATAAATTCACTCCCCAGATTCTACAAACTTAGAAGAATGCAGCTTCCAAACTATGCAGAACTCTTGATGCTTCTGTAATATTGAAAGATACTGCAGTTTTCTTTTCTTTACCTAAGCTTTTATCTCAGCAGTTTCAGAATTGCTGATGTTTATATTGAGAGCAGTGTAATATGATCTGTGTTACTTCTGACACCTAAAGCACAGAATATAACAAAACAGACATTCATTTGACTAACTTGACCTGACAACATTTTGTTTTCTTTTGCCTTTCAAAGGTCTTGGAGTTTCTGAAGTATTTCGATCTTTCTTCTCCCCTACGGTTTTGAGGACTCTTCGTTTGGTGCGGATTGGCCGAATCCTGAGGCTAGTTCACAAGGCCAAAAGAATTCATACTCTTCTTTTTGCATTGCTGATGTCTCTTCCTGCACTGGTCAACATTGGCCTTTTGCTTTTCCTGATTATGTTCATTTATGCCATCGTGGGCATGGCAAACTTTGCCTGTCTCCGCTTGGGCGGTGGGATTGATGACATTTTCAACTTCCAAACATTTTGTGGTAGCATTCTCTGCCTTTTCCAAATTACCACATCAGCTGGCTGGGATAGTCTTCTGTCCCCTGTGCTGAAAGGACCTGACACATGTGCTCCCCAATTAAATGTAACAGGGACAGAGAAAAATAATTGCATAAATAAGGGCTTTGGTATTTTATATTTTGTAAGCTATGTCATTATATCGTTTCTCATTGTTATAAATATGTACATAGCTGTCATTTTGGAGAACTTCAGCGTTGCCACTGAGGAAAGCACGGATCCTCTTTGTGAGGATGACTTTGATATGTTTTATGAGACATGGGGAAAGTTTGACCCTCTGGCAACGCAGTTTATAGATTATTCTGCTCTTTCAGACTTTGCAGATGCACTGGCGTTCCCCTTGCGCATCCCAAAGCCCAATAAAATCCAGCTCATATCCATGGACATCCCTATACTTAGTGGAGATAAGATCCACTACTTGGATATCTTGCTGGCTTTTACCAAAAGGGTCTTGGGAGAATCTGGAGATTTGGAGAGTCTTGAATTAAATGTAGAAGAAAATATTGCAGCTCCCAATCCATCTAAAAGTTGTTACAGCCCAATTTCTTCTACCCTCAAAAGAAAACAAGAGGAAGTGTCAGCTCTTATTATTCAAAGGGCCTTCAGGAGGTATTTGAGACAACGTTCTCTTGAAAATAGATCCTTAAACCGTTGCAAACATAACAGTGCTGTCTTTGCAGAAGAAATACAGGACAAGCCAAGTCTTCTTGAATCACGGCTTAATGAAAATCAAGGTAGGAAGGCAGATAAATTACGTCCTGTTTCTTCCATATCCCTCCCTTTATTTTATGATGGCTTTGCTCACACAGACAGGGATAAGCCTGACACATGAGGTTGCCCCTGGCTGCAGCATTTCCAGTTAAACCAATGTCACATTTTCATATGGATACCATATTTTGATCCCACAAATACTCTGAATTTAGAATAATAATAGCAGCCTTCAAGTATTGTAATTGTTCAGATTTGCAAATGCTCCTTAAAGCAATTAAGATTTGAGCAACTATGTCATAAATATGAGAGGAAAATCAAAACATGGAATTTTTTTTCCTTAACTACTGGAGTTGGTGAGTTAATTTTTTCAGCTGCCATTTTTATATAAGTTCATGTGTTTGTGGAAAAAGTCTTTAAAAGATCAGTTGTAAGCATTTATAAACACACAAGGATATAGAATAAGGTATATGTCTTTAGGGAGAACCAAATTTTCCAAACAGGCTTTATTGTTGAAAAATTAAGTAATTACTGTACTTCTGTAAAAGAGCTGACTCAAGACACTTGAGTATAATCAGCCTCTAATTTTGATATTTTTGGGACCATCCTCCTCCTAAAGTCTTTGAATGCATTTGATTATGCCTAAGAATTTTTGAGGTGTCTTTACACCTCAAGGGATTTAACAGATCATCCTCAGTTGCCTGTGCCTGAAAGTTGTACATAGTTTGTTCTTTGTATCATTCAGTGTATGAAAATTGTCATAATCCTAATCATAATCAAAATATGTTGTGCAAGAAATATTATTTCAAGAAAAGAATAGTTGTACATAAAATTCCATCATTATACTTTATCTCTAGACATCTGAAAAGAAGTTAATGGTGCACCTTGTGAGATAACATTTATTAAAGTTAGAGAAAGTATTTATTTCATTGATTCTGACAAAAATGTGTGAACCATATGTAATAATATTTTACTGATTTTTTTTTCAGTTTGGAATATGACTGGTTTAGATTCTTCAATAAAGACTTCAGATGCTTAACATGTTTTTGTCTATTTTCCAAGAAGTATCTTCAATTTCATTTATTACAAGACATAATCTATTATTGAGGGGTAGAACAACAGTAATGTAATTTTCTCAAAGTAACTACCTATTAGCACAAGAAAACTGAAAATAATTTGCTATTCACAGGGAGTCAGAAAAGATCTAGAGTTTTCAAGCCAAGAATATCAAGAACAATGAGGTCATTTTTTCTGTCATTTACCTTGTTAAAGGCTATTAAAATAGGACAGATTTAGTCAAAACTAAGTTATTTTCAGGACAAATAAAGGCACAGGCAAGCAAAGAGTTAAAGAGCTTGGATACAGTAGATGTATAGATTTATATGGTCAAATATTGACCATATATAGATTTATTGATTATTATAATAATATATACTTGTTGATTTATTGATATGACCAAATAAATAGACTTATTATGGTCAAACATTGGAACAGCCTCCCCAGGGAAATGGTGGAGTCCCTGTCTCTGGAAGTGTTCCAAAAATGAGTGGATGTGGCACTTGGTGCTGTGGTTTAGTGGGAGTGGAGATGTTCAGTCAAAGGATGGACTTGATGATCTTGGGGGGCCTTTAACAACCTTAATGATTCTATGATTATTTTCAGAACCAGCTTCTGCTCATAATAAAAAGTTCTGCAGAGCTCTTGGGAGAACTCGGGGGTCAGCAGCCCTGTCAGTGGGATGCAGAGATGCCAGGTGGGTCTGTCTCCTGCCCAGCCTGGATTGTTTCATGCACAGTGATGCTGGTGAAACTATAAATTTTATTCAGTGTGAGCTGGAATGAGCCCTGGAATGAACCGACAGCTTTTGTTCAGCACTCAGGCTCCATTAGATGGCAGCATTTACTGTGGTTTAGGATGTGGCCAGTCTTCAGTTAAACAGGTGAAATTTGCACACTGCAGCATAGAAGTACTAAATTAATTCTAAATTGTTCAGAAGAAAAGTCTCTTTTTTCCTGTCCTGGGCTTTCAAGTTAGCCACAGGTCTCAGTAAGTGCTTGTTTGCTGACTGTTCTGGTGTCTGATAGATATTAATGGTTGTGAAAAAAAATAAAATTGTTCTCCTGTGCTTGGACTTTCCAGAGGGGTAGTTCAAGCATTTCTCTGTAGCACTGTAAAAGGAAGTGTTTCTCAGAGAAGAGGTAAGACTGCTTTGTACTTGCTTATTGGAAAAGAAGGAAATATTGGAAAAGCCATGTAAGAGAATTGTAAGCATTAATCACTCTGATCTTAGCAATTAAAAAATATTTGTTTGAATGCAACAGCAGGTTCTCTGTCCATACCTAGAAATACTTTGAAGATGAACATTTTATTTCCATTGGAGAGGTAGAAATTTTGGACAAAATCACACCTGGCATGAACACATGCTTAGTGATTTATGCCACCTCTGCAATGTTCAAAAACACCTGAATTCACCATGGGGCTAATTTAAAAGTCTGACTAATTCTTTAGTACTGCTTAAGCATTAAAATTGCCATAACAGGCTGTTGCAGGGTTGGAAGGAGAATGGTGATATCCAGCTGTTGCAGCTTCTTCCTGCTGGATTTGTCCAAAAGCCAGTTCAGCTCCTGAAGCAACTTAATTTTTTAATAAGTCTGTAAATGGCGATGAGCCAAAGCAGTGAATAGGTGGGAGCTTTTTACAATTCTGTTAATCTGGAACTCTAAATTTCTTCAGGTACAACTGCCTGGATTTGTGTGAAATCCATGAGAAATTCAGGAATGCTTGGAACGCAGAGGAAAAATATTCCTTTTTGTTTGTGAAGTTTGATGCTTAAATCAGAGAACAGCAGAAATACAGGAATATTGGATCCCTCCAGTCAGGAAACAGTGAATGCAGAGCTCCCAGGGAATTTCTGAGGGTCAGCAGTAGAGTACAAACCAGCATTGCCTCCTTAGTAGTGGTGCACATCTCTGTTTTGCATTTCCATGTGTCACTGTTCCTGTGTAGAAATAGAAGGGAAATAAGAGTTTTTTCCTACTTTTGTGGTAGCACTGTATCCCTCAGAGCAGGCTCCCCAAAGGTTTTGTGCAAATTGTCCTTTTACTTTCTGGAGTTCCTCAGTTACTCCTCCCCTTGGAATGTTTGCACTGTCCACTGTTTCCTCAGGGCTCAAAAGAGACCCCATGTGTAAATAAGTTATTTGAAAATAAATAACCCCTAGTGGGAGGTTCCCTGCCCATGGCAGGGAGGTGGGAACTGGATGATCTTTAAACTCCCTTTCAACCCAAATTATTCTGTGATTCTATGAAAGGTACCAGAAAGAGAATCTCATCATTTCATCTTATCCCTGAACCCACCAGAGGTGCTTGACAAGTGTGTCATCTGCAATGTCACTGTCCAAAGACATCAGTGAGCTAAACATCCTCTCTCAAAATGAGAAATCCTTACAACTTAGGAGGTGCAGGAAGACATCCCAAATTATACTTTTATAATTCATGTTTAGGGTGAATATTCCCATAAGAAGAGAACACCAAACAACCTGAACAGCTTCAGGCAGAGGTCAGGGTTATGGTGAAAAGTGGTGGAGAAGAAATCTGTTGTGTTGGGACCAAGTAGAACAAATTATTCAATATGGTAAAAGTTTCAAAGATACAGGAACTGTGTTTAAATAGCTGTGTTTCATCAGCTACAGCTGGCCAAAAGCAATCCTGAGAGCAGCCACATGCTTTTCAAACTTAAATATTATGGCTAAATAGACAATTGAATCTATAGCTGGGAGTCTATCTTTTTATTCTGTTTTGGACATGCACTTCTACTCTAGGGCAAAATTAACAAGAGATTTCTCACCTGTCCACCCCTGGAAACTAAATTATGAGTCCTCTATGACTTCTAAAGCATCATGCCAGATTTCTTTCTGCAAGTTTCTTCAGTATCCTCATCCATTAAATATATTTGGATGAAGGTGCTGAACAATGTCAGAGCTGAATATGGTGCACAAGTTTTGACTCTTTACTCTGCCAGTTCCAGGGAAAATATGTGAAGGCATCAGCTCAGTAAGTGGTTTTATTGATCTTCAGAAACTTTTGAAAGAGCAATTGAGACATTTTGGCAACTCCTCAGGAAAATATAGCTGTTTGGGCAAATCCGTTGCTGTTATCTGCTTTGTGATTCCATGGAGTTAAAGGTAAGACAGGCCAAGCTGATTTTAATGATAGTCATTAACTTACTGCAAAGCTGTTCGAGTTCTGAGTAGACTGAGAACAATTGACGTTTCCTCTCCAGTTTCCAGGGAAGCTGGGTTTATGCAGGAGCATTCCAAGGTTAGACATTCATAGGTTAGATTTAGGACAACAGCCACCCTACCTCCCTGATCAAACATTGGGTAGAATTTGTCTTCAGGGACAATTTAAAGTGGTCACCAGAAAAAGCAGCTCTTTTCTAAGTTTTCTTTTATATATTCATACCTTTCTTGAAATGAAGAGGATAGAACTGGAGGTAGTATTTTAGTAATGCAACCAGTGTCAGCAGTCTCTGCAGAATTTATGAGCAAAGATTTCATAGCCTTATTCCAATTACATATTTTTTCTGCTTGTGGCTGAAATAATAACACAGACATGATGGGCAAATAAAAAGCCATCCTTGTGTTTTTCATGCAGTATATTTTTTGCTGCTGCTACCAGTGAAGCCTGTAATTGCTGCAGTCAGAAATCTGTGTTTGCATGATGCATTCTCCAACATCTGTGCACAGAAATTCACCAAAATATTTCCAGCTGTTTCTTCCCCCCATGCCAACCTGAATAGAGTGTACAGAAAATTTCTCCCCCTTTCAATGAGATAATGGTAAGCTTCAATAAAACCAGCAGCATCAGGATTCCACCACAGCACCTTTAGAGAATGGCATTTCCTTCCTAAACATACATGGTGCCCATCACTCATTTATCAGACTCTCTGACATCTCATTCAATAAAACACTTGTGCTTATGTCCATTATGTCCATTTCACTTATCTTCAGCTTCCTCCTATAAATTGTTTTGTCTGCCAGCTCTGTACAAGACAGATGATCCCACGGCTGCCAGAACATCAAATATGATGGGTAGTAGTTAATGTCCCTTACTTTCCTAAACA